AAACCTGCTGTATAAGCAGGGCCCTCCCATATTAGCAACCACCCTAAGAAATGCTACCTTCTTGTTAAATGTTTTTCACTCTGGCAGGATTGCTGGTCTTCTCTTTGTCTCCTGAAAATGGCATCCCTCAAGGGAGGTACCTTGATCCCAGTGAGGAGCTCTTGATCAAAGGAGCTGGACCTATCCTCCCATTCCTTGGATTGAACTTCATTGTCACCCATTCTCCTGGTACTACATGACCCATATATATGTGTGTAGTAGTTCCCCTTCATTATATTATGAAAAAAAAAAAAAATGCACGCACACACACACACACACACAAAACTCCAGGAACCAAGGCTTGTCAACACACTCCTATAAAATACAGTGGAACCCCGGTTTACGATATGATTTCATTCCAGACGTATGTTCAGGTGCCATTACTGAACGAATTTGTTCCCATAAGGAATATTGTGAATTAGATTAGTCCATTTCAGACCCCCAAACATACACGTACAAATGCGCTTACATAAACACACTTACATAACTGGTCGCATTGGGAGCTGATCGTAAACCAGGGGTCCACTGTATATTAAGAATTACTAACAAATGCTTAAATGGCTTCAAAGTTAAATTTGATAAAAGTCCTTCAGGAAATCATTGATTAACCCAGTTGTAAACTAAGAGACCTAGTTAGCAATTAAATATAAACTAATTAATACAATCAAGATTTAACTTACTCTGTTGTTCTGTGCATCACGGTTGGCACCATGAGTAAGAAGGATCTGGACAGCTTCTACATTATTAACAGAAGCAGCCCAGTGTAAAGCTGTTTTGCCCGAGTCATCAGCAGCATTTATATCAGCATCAGCATTTATGAGATCCTCAACCATTCCTTCGATAGCCAGACGTGCAGCAAGAATTAGTGGAGTGGTTCCATCATTTGTTTTGGCATTTAAGTCTGTTGATCGGTTCCGAAGCAAGATCTGGAAGTGAGATAATATACATGTATTAATGCTAATGACTGATATTTTATACCTCAGTAAACCACTCCTCCTTATTTAATAAACGTTAATTACTATATTGTCATTAATCTTTCTTCCAATTAGGACCAGAATATTGCAATATTGGATGAAAGATAAAATCTGAATAATTATATATATACATACATACAGTGGTACCCCAAGTTTCGGCCATACAGTGGACCCTCATTTAACGATGCCATCGGATAGCGATAAAATTGGATACCAGTACGTTTTTGCGTAAAAATATTGGCTCGGCTAACGATAAAAAACATGTTCTGGACATTCGTCCAGAATGTGTCCACGCGGCTTGAGCCACCCGGCCACTCCAGTGTGGCCGGTGTGCCATTGTTTACAAGCCATTGCGGACTATTCTACGCCTACATGCAATACACTTTGTATTCCATTATTTTTAGTGCTTGTAACTGTTAAATAAGTCACCATGGGCCCAAAGAAAGCTTTGGGCCCATCCTCTCCTCCATCCTCTCCCCTCCTATCTTCCATACATCACCATGTCTTCAATAAAGGTAAGTGTGATGTTATTATTGTTTTATTCTTCATGTATCATTGTTTTCTGTGTAGGGAAATATATATTTCAAGTAAAAAAATTATTCTGTTTAATACTTTTGGATGTCTGAAATGGATTAATTGGATTTCCATTATTTCTTGTGGGGAAAATTAATTCGGCTAACAATAAAATCGGTCAAGGACAAGCTCTCTGAAACGAATTAATATCGTTAACCGAGGGTCCACTGTAATTCATTCCAGAAGGCTGTTCAAGTGCCGTTACTGAACGAATCTGTTTCCATAAGGAATAATGTAAATTAGATTAGTCCATTTCAGAACCCCCAAAAATACACTTACATGAGCACTTACAATAATACACTTACATAACTGTTCGAGTTGGGAGCTGTATGAAACTCGGGGTACCACTTACAGCCGGTTTGTTGAAAGAAAAAAAAATATACGTATATATATATATATATATATATATATATATACACATGCACACACACTACTAATAATAATAATCTGGTACTCTGAGACAGCTTTAAGCCTTTTACACTGGTTGTTGTGCCACAACACAACATCAGTCTGGCTTGAGCTTAGTGGTTTTTAGCAATGACTACCATTACTTTTAAAAACCATTTCAAAAAGTGCCTCTATGATGGACAAAGCTCTTTAAATGCCATCAAAAAATATTTAACTAAATATATCAATACAGAAGAACTCCCATATCCACGGATTTGGTTTCAGCGGTTTCAGTTATCCACGATTTACCATGGCCCAAAAATATCTCTTAATTTTGCTCAATAATGGCACAAAAGTAGTGATGCTAACAGTTCTTCAAAGCCTAAAAGAAGCTGTGAAGTGCTTCCCATCAGAGAAAAAGTGTTAATTCTTGACTTATTGTAATTTATCAATTAAACTATATCATAGGTATGTATGTAAACAAAAGACTTATATACAAGGTTCATTACTATCCACAGTAGGTCTTGAAATGTATCCAGCGTGGACACGGGGACTACTGTATATTATCTAAAAACTAATTTTTAATTTTTCAAGTTAATTATCTACACAGAATACATTTCATTTCAGCTGGAATATAAAAGTGATTAATGCACTATACATTTTGCACTAACCTGGAAAACCCCTTGAGCATCAGCAGCAACTGCAGCATGTAAAGGAGTACGACCTGTTGCATCCTGAGCATTAGCATCTGCCTTTGCATCCAACAGTCTTTTTGCAGCATCTGCTCTAGCATATCTGGAATAATTATAAAAATGTAATGAAAACCTGATAAAAAAATCTTACAAAAAAATAACTGTAGGAACTAATGTATACAGACAACAGAGTTATCATTATAAAACAATCGATATTCACAAACCTGGCTGCAAGATGTAGGGAGGTTTCTCCTGTGCGATCCATCTTGGCATTGAGCTTGGCTCCCTGTTCAATAAGTTCTTGGATGACTGCTGCTGAGCCATCTTTATCATCTTCATCAGTGTGACTCTCCAAACCACCACCACGGAATGATGCAATCATGAGTGGAGTAAGACCCATGGGCCCTTTAGGATCCACTTCTCCAGCAATACCACGCTGTTCTTCTGGTTCTGTTTGGGGTGGCGTCAATGCTAACAAATCAGGATTTTTAATGTCTGCAGCATCAAGATGTTGCTGTGTCCAAACTCGAGGATCATTAGCATCATCGTAGTCTGTAATCTGAGTTTGGTCAGAATAACCAGCTTCGTGCCGAGAACGTTTAATTGGTGGATGTTCACTATCATCATCAGACCAATCACCTAAAGGCCCTGGTATTGGTATACCTCGGTTCATCCCATCACCGTCACCAATGTCAGCAAGATGATGAACTGATGCACCCTTATTGAAGCTGCGCATCTCTTGGCCATCCGGCTTTCTTCGTGTAGGTTCAGCACTTGCACTTGAACTTGTGCTATATTTAGGAAAGAAGCCTTCTGGAAACCAGGTAATGCCTCGTGATCTTTTGCGATTGTTTGTAACTACCATAAAAATTATCCCAACTAACACCAAGGCAAATACAATGCCAACAATAATATATGTATACCCAGGCGGAGGATTTGGAGGGCCATTTTCATAAATTCCAGATATTGGAATGCCTGTATCACTACCTAATCGAAGTTGATTTGCAGCCAAGAAATTGGCGATATCAGTGACACTTTCAAAGCACTGGTCTTCCTTTTCACATCGCCGTTTATCTATTTCAAAGTACACCAAAAGACCTTGAATACCTCTTTCATTAAAAGGGTAGATCATCTCTTCACCTGATTGGTCACGTTTGATAACAAGATGTATTCCTAAGAGGCTACTTAATTTTCTTACAAAAGACTTCTTGGCAGATCGAAAATCAGCTTCATCAGTTTCTACAACTATTTGAAGTCCCTCTGACATTATTGAAGGTGGCTTATTTTCACAATCGAGCCCATCCCACCCACACTCTGCAACATTGCAACCTTGATCACAATGGCCATTTTCATAGTTTGTTGCACAATAGGCATCATAGATGGGATTGCAAGTGCCAACAGGTTTCCGACAATCCAAGCCATCAAACAAACATCCAGCGTTGTTACACTGTGTATTACAAACTCCATCTCCAAAAACTTGCCAGCAATCAATATCAGCTTGACAAAAGGCCCAAGGATTACGACCCAGAGAGCATTCATAACCATCATAATCACAAGCAGTGCTTGCACACTCAGGGTCACAACGCAGATTATTTTTCTTCTCGCTGCAGCGATGAAGTTCACATTTCTCTCGTTCAAAGGTAATATTTGTAATGACAGCTTTATCTAGAATCTGACCAATTCCACCTTTAAATGTAGGGTCATTGACTTCACACCTTTGTCCATTCCATTGTGGTGGGCACTGACATTCATAATAAGTTATTCTATCAAGGCATTTACCATTATGCATACAGGAGCTTGGAGTACACTGATGTGTCTGATGATGTTTTGGAACACATTCAGTTCCTTTCGCATATGGTCTGCAAGTTTCACCTGGACCACAGATTTTTGAAGCACAGTCATCACTTGGAAATTCACAAGATTTACCTGTGAATCCTTCTGGACAGTGACAAGAATAGTCCCGATCAGTATTACTGCACAATCCTCCATTCTGACATGGTGATTCAGCACAAAAGTCTCTCTTGCTTTCACAATGACGTCCCATGTATCCTGGACGACAGTTGCACCGATAATCATTTACAAGCTGCACACAATCTGCAGTGCCTTCTCTCATACATGGAAAAGATAAGCACTCATTTACATCTCCTTCACATCTTGCACCTACATAACCTGGTTTGCAGTGACATTCAAACCCACCAACCTTATCTATGCACTTCCCACCATTATGGCAAGCACCTTCATAACAGTCATAGGTATTGATCTCACAGAGTTTACCAAGAGTACCATGTGGACAGGAGCACTGGAATCCATTCACTTGATCATGACACACACCTCCATTCTGACAGGGGTTGTTTGGCTTGCAGTCATCAACATTATATTCACAGTTAAGACCTTGAAAGCCTGGGCGACATGAACAGGAATACGTACCTATGTGATCATTACAAGTTGCACCATTCATGCATGGTTGGGAATCACATTCTTTAATTTCATGTTGGCAGTAGGAGCCTGTATAGCCAACAGCACACTCACATTGATGGGTATTACCAATATCATGACATTTCCCATCATGATGGCAAAGTTTTGAGGAAATAACACCTTTGCTTGCTGCAGCTGTGGCACAGGAAACCATCTCAACATCACATAACAAACCTGTCCACCCAGGAGGGCATTCACACTTGTAGCGATTTTCTGTTTGCTTGCATATACCATTATTAAAGCAGGGCGAGGCAGAACACCAATCCACCAAACGTTCACATTGCTGTCCTGTGTAACCATAATGACAGTGACACGTAAAAAATCCCACATGGTCACTGCAAGTACCACCATGCTTGCAAGGATTCGAGTGGCACTCATTAATACGATGTTGACAATGAGAACCAGTAAATCCTGAGGGGCACTTGCATGTGTAATTGTTTATACCATCAATGCAACTACCATTGTTCATACATGAAGTTTCAGTGCAGTCTTCATCATTAATTTCACAGTTAGTGCCAGAGAATCCTAAAGGACAACTGCATGTGTAAGAATTCACATAGTCATTGCAAGTGGCTCCATTTTGGCATGGGCTTGAATCACATTCATTGAGATCATGTTCGCAGTTAGTTCCTCCAAAACCATCAACACATAAACATGTGTATTCTCCAATTCCATCTAAACATGTACCCCCATTTAGACAAGGCTGTAATGCACAGTCATTTGTATTAATAGTGCACTGACGGCCTTCATATCCAATAGAACACTGACAAGAATATGATCCATTTGTATTTTGGCAAGTCGCACTATTTTTGCAGGGTGAGGGTGATACATTACATTCATTGATGTCTTCATCACAGAGACGGCCAGTATACCCAAGTTCACACTCACAAGTAAAATCCAGAAAGTTTGCTGTAGGTGTACAGCGAGCATCATGCCGACACTTATTAGGTGAGCATGGGTCCATTCTCACCTCACAGTTTTGCCCTGTGTGGGGAAGCTCACATACACACTTATAAGAATTCACTAGATCAATACAAGTGCCGCCATTCCTACAAGGTCGGCTTAAGCAATCATCAATGTTTGACTCACAGTTCCGACCAGAGTACCCAGGTGGACATGTGCAAGTGTAAGCATTAAGAGCATCACGACAAGTGCCTCCATGCTGACAAGGATTGGACTGACATTCGTCAATTTCATGTTCACAACGGTGGCCAGTATATCCAGGTGGGCATTTGCAATTAAATCTATTGACATCATCAAAACAGGACCCACCATTGAGACAGGGATCACTGGCACACTCATTCACATTTGAAAGGCATCGAGCATCATAGTAACCAGACGGGCATTGGCAGCGAAACCCATCCACTTGATCTATACAAACACCTCCATTAGCACAGGGATGAGATAAGCAGTCATCGATATTAGTTTCACAGAATCTCCCAGTGTAGCCAGGTTCACATTCACACCTGTATTCATTAATGCCATCTTTGCACTTGGCACCATTGCGACAAGGATTACTGAAGCATTCATTGATGTTGTACTCACACTTGACACCAGCTGTGCCATTAGGGCATATGCATTTGTAACTATTGATGAGATTCTTACATGTTCCTCCATGTTCACATGGCATTGACAGGCATTCATCAATCTCTGTTTGGCAAAGTAAACCAGTATAACCTGGATGACACAAACAAGAGAAGGAATTATCACCATCAATGCACAAGCCATGGCGGCAAGGAGATGAGAGGCAATCATCTATGTTAGTTTCACAGTTGGTTCCAGTAAATCCAGGACTACAACGACAGTTGTAGCCAGCCACACGGTCGAGGCATTTACCACCATGCTGACATGGCTCTGAAGCACAGTCATCAATGTTAATGTGACACTGTCGTCCAGTGAAGCCCTGTGTGCAGCTGCACCGATATTCATTGATGAGGTCACTGCATATTCCATTATTGTGGCATGGGTGTGAAGCACATTCATCAACATCTTCCTCACAGTGCTGCCCAGTGTATCCTGAAAAAAACAAGCACAGCAGTAGTTAGTACAGTATTATACTAGTATTTTTATTTAAGAACAAAAGAAGAAGAATTAGGTCATCATCAGATTATCCATTCAAATGCAATATTAGTACCACTGGAAACACAAATGTTAAAAAATAAATAAGCATGGTCACAACATACATGATATTACAGCCTCTCCTCACTTAACGACGGAGTTCCGTTGCTAAGACCACGTCGCTACGTGAGGAGCATACTATAATGGTAGTGGGTTTGTGTAGGCTATCTCTGATATTGTTTTAATGTCACCTTTACACCATTTATAACATTTCTGGTATAATTTTAAATGCTTATACAGTAGTGTACTGTATAGTACACATTTTGGATATAGCACGATTGAAGAATTGCAGGATATTTTTAACACTTGATAAAATTAGTTTAGCACGGTCGCTCCTGCAACAGTGAAAAATTTTGAGTGCCACCAGGTGGGATGGTCTGTGGGTTACACCAAGGTGTCAACGGGGGAGACCTACCACCGTGCCATTCCCTGCCTCCCTCAGCCACCCACACCACCCTCCCAGCCTTCAGTTCGGTTCATATGTGTGTAGGACAACGATACTCAGGAAGCTTGATGTGTTTATTTACATACATATTTTCTTACTTTCATTGCCATATATTAAATCTGCCAAGTGCTCTAAGTAGTTTGCTATGTCTCAAGACTCAACTAGACTTAACCAGTGACTGACTAAAAGTCCTCACATAAACTAACTTCTTGACCAACCTGGCAATCAGAACAGCTTGCTTGAACAATAAAATGACTGATAAGCTGAACAGCAATATAACAAGCAACAGCGACACAGAATCAGGAACAAGGAGATAATATAACGACACTAAGTAGGGACCATCTGCAGATCCTCCACAAATGTCACAAAACTCCCATAATACTGAATCTAAGTTCAGCATTAGAAAATCCCCAACTGTGATGGTACACAGATACCAGTACAAATTAGGTCAGAAGCTACAGCTCAGGACCTGAGTTTCTCAGTGTCTATGAGACACAACCTCAGGACAACGTCGAAAATCACTAAGTCTAGGCTATGTTCTGTGAACAGAGTTACACAGAACCAACAACAAGAAAGTGACAGAGACAATCTTCCAACAAGGGCCAGCAATGGAGAGCTGGAGAGGGACATCTTTTTGGAAGCAACGTCAACCAGAAAGAGAGCGAGCGCAGGCCAGGCAATCTCTCACCCAGGTGAGGTGTGATCACCCCACCCTGATCTGAATCAGATCAGAGTGAAAGTTTTTGCATTGTTTCATACATTTCTTTCAAGTGTCTAGCAAGAGCTAAAAACAGACTTGATAGTGTTGCCACTGTAAAGTAAGACAGTCGTCTCACTTGTTTTGCTGGAATTAATAAAAATTCCACATTTCAGGATCATAATATTTATCTAAAGCATTAAAAAAGTTGGTTAACATCACAACAATAACATACTGAGTCTTCCAATTTCAAGTAAGTTTCTAGGTTTTTTCATCTGCTTTCTGAACAACTGAATCTTGTGTCTAGGTGCAGTAAATTCCACTGGTTCAATCTTGAACCATGTTGCTCTGACTGTTCTTGGATAAATTAAGATCATGCACAAGATTGTTAAGAACACTTTGAGTCACTAGATGTGGTTACTGGTTGTTAATTCCAGCCAGTTCAAACTCGGAATCTAAGTTAGTGACTTCTTCTTCATCCAAGGGAAATATATGTCTTTACAAGATGGTGGTAATGGAACAGGGAGATCCTCTGAATGTTCCACCGGTCTGATTGTAGAAAAATATGGATATGCTATTTTGTATTCTTTTTTTTTTTTGATAAAAATTCTGACATTTCTGATACAGAAATAACGATCTGTGGTCTGATCCTTTGGGTCCCTCCATACCATGACTTTCTTCAGCAAAATACTCAAAACACTGGTGTAAGGAGTTGGAATAAGTTACACAACAGTGATGACGTGCCCACAGCTTGTCTTGATCGCCAACCTTCATACCAAAGTACAGTAGTGAAAATAAGCTGTGTTCACACAAGGCACAATGTTTCGTCTCAACTTTGTCAGAGTAACGCTGCCACATGTATAACAAAAACGGTAAACCATTAATGTCATTTAAGCACCCACAAGGCATTGTTGTCTTATAACTTGACAATTGGTAATACCATTTACTCTGAAAAAGAGCAAACATACAATACATTAATGATGCAACAATCTCATACATCCACACAAATTTATTTATTTATTTTTATTTATTTATTTTATGTCTTTGCAAACAGTACATTGAGATTTTGTATTTACAATTGTGGGTTGCAATGCAAAGAGAGTCTCTATTATGCCTAGGCATTATGGGCCAACTTAACATTATTGGCTTACAGTCTACTTAATACTAAGGAGTATATCATAGTTGTACAGTAGGATAGTAATTATTTCATAGCTGTACAGTAGAATATTAATTATAAATGAATCAAAATTTGTATAATACAAAGATACATTTATATTCTAAAATGCTTTTGTGAAAACAATGATTCAATTATATTCCTGTCAACAATGGATAAAAGGTTCAATGTGATTGTTTCAGTTATGATGTGGGAGTACATAGGTGAGTATGTACTGAGTATTTAGCATTTAATCTAGGGTGATTAAGTGGCTTTTGAGAAGAGTCTTAAATTGATTTTCAGACTGGGTTAGTTTAATATCTTCTGGTAATGAATTCCTGATTTTGGGGCCCTTTATGTGCATAGAGTTTTTACACAGTGTGATATGGACACGAGGTATATCAAAAAGAGATCTGTGTCTTGTGTTGTGGTCATGTGTCCTGTTTAGATTGGTGAGAAGTCTGAGTGGGGGGTTTATATTTGCGTGTATTGTTCTGTGTATGTAATAGGCACATGAATAAGTATGGATGTTCTTAAGGGTAAGCAGATTCAGACTTTTGAAAATTGGTGGAGTATGCTGGCGGGAGTGGGAATTTGTTATCATTCTTACTGCTGCCTTTTGCTGGGTTATTAGGGGTTTTAGGTGATTGGATGTTGTTGATCCCCATGCACAAATTCCATATGTAAGATAAGGGTATATGAGTGAATGGTACAGTGCCAGGAGAGCTGATTGTGGAACGTAGTACCTTATCTTTGATAGTATGCCTACAGTCTTGGAGATTTTCTTGGTGATTTGTTGTATGTGTGTCTGGAACTTAAGGCTACTGTCAAGGTGGATACCTAGGAATTTTCCCTCTGTGAGTCTTGTGACTGATGATCCATTTAGCGTTATTGTGGCATGCAAAGAGTACGTAACCTTTATTCGGCGCATGTACACACCCTCATTTACAGGCTATCTCCCCCAGCCAGCGAACCAGGTTGCTAAGAGTTGATGATGGGGCCCCGTCGTTCAACTAGTGACCAGGTTCCAGCCAATAAGATGGTGGTTTTGGCAATCGCAGAGGTTATGTGGGTACCACTCTCCTGTCTGCCCTTGTCATTCCATTCTAGAGCTGGTTGAAGCACGGTCTGCTATCTTGTGGCTTCTATTTCTGCCTTGCTTACCGTGGAGTGCACCATACTTATCACTGTACATAGTGTACATATTGCTGTTCTAAACTGGTGAAGGATAATATAAGTCTAAACTTTTTCTGCTGTGTTTATTTTGCTCCCATTACACCCGGGATAACAGGCCGTTTGGAATCCTGGGTTGTAATATGGGGGCCTGTCCGGGAGCTGGAGCTGGACTTAGAGAAACGGTTGAGCTTAGGGTGAAGCTCGTAGCAGGAACATTGTGCAGCTTGCTGTCTGGCATTGCATTAGCTTTGCCTACGCTTTACAAATTTTGCGTGTCAGTTACTGTTATGGTCAGCCTTGCTATTGTGTGATCGTTCAACAGCTCGCTACTAGCTTGTTCGGTGTGCTCGCTTCGCTACGGTCAATCTTATAGAACAGTGTGGATGTCTGGCATTGCTTTACAAATTTTGCGTGTCACTTGTTACTAGCCTGTTCAGTGTGGAGAATTTTGCAGTCGGCTTTGCTTGTATGCATATTCTGCAATCGTACTGTGCATAGCTAAGCGTGTCCTGCAAATTAACGTGTTACGTTGGGGTATTCTGCAATTGTACTGTGCATAGCGAATAACTTATGCCACCTAGACGAGTCAGACGTCTGGTGTCGGCATATACTTTGCATAACCTACCTAAATTGTCCCTACAGCGTTGTTGGCAAATTGCTCGTTCCATTGGCATTAAATACAAACGCACTCTCACAGCTGCGCAACTGCGTTCACTGATTGCTGACAAACTTATAGAAGAAGAGATCGCACATCAGACTCCTCCCTCTACGGGAGCTAGGGCAAAAACTACTATGTTCTCGCAGGAGGAAGATGATACACCTACGGAGCAAAATGGTCAGTATAGTGCAGCTGGGTTGTCTCAAGGGGAGTCAGCGTCGTTGGCACTTGAGCTGGCAAAAATCAATCTTGAGCAAACTAGGGAACAGAGAGCATTCGCAAGGGAAGAATTTGATAGGGAAAGAGAAAGGAGGCAGTTTTCGCATTCTGTAAATAATTTTAGTTTACAAAAAGCAGTACAGCTTGTTCCCCGCTTCAATGAGACCGAACCAGAACAATTTTTCGAAAGCTTCGAAAATCAGGCTCGAGCCTTGAGGTGGCCGGAACAGCATTGGGCATCGTTGGTTCATACAGCATTATTGGGTAAGGCACAGGAATTTACGTCAGTATTAAATGACGCTGAATTTTCTGATTATCAAGTAGTGAAGACCACAGTGTTGGGAGCATATACATGTATCCCAGCCAAATATAGAAAAATTTTTAAGCTGGGCAGACGACAGCCTAGTGGACTTTGTGAGACAGCAAACCAAAGCTTTTACCAGCTGGTATAAATCAAGTGGTGTCTCTACCTTTGAGGAGCTGGTACAGCTTATTCTGATTGATAACCTGCTGGAGTCTGTGGAACCAGAGGTTCGAGTCTTTCTGCAGG